TTATTCAGAATCAGACAACTCAAGCAATCCGAACAATGCGAACGGCAGGGATTCTAAACGGACTCTGACTCCTTAGAGGATTCGGTGATCAACTGATTTTAGCAGTCTGGAGCTAGGGTTTATATACTCCAAAAACTGCTGGTTCCAAGTTGGCCAAGAGTTTAAACATATGCAGGTCATTGCCTCTTTCGAAACAGTGTGTAGAAAGTACTGGACAGGACATGCATCAAGGCTTTTTATGGGAAGAGGGAGTGGAGAACGCGTCTTGAATATTAAGTATCCTGATACACTGTTGCAGGTGTAAAAGGTCAGCAGAGATTTACGGCTGGTGAGAAACATTGTAACGCATGAGAAGGGAGCACCACAAAAGGTGCTGGTGAGAAAATCTCACTTCAATCGGAATAGGAATGTCTCGCGGAAGCGTGAATTCCTCGGAGTACGAAAAATAGTACTTCGTAACAAGTTTTTAAAGTGTTTTGCTGAGAATGAGTTGATAGTTGGTTTATTTTGGACAATACGTCGTGGCTTCAATTAATTAAGAAGAAGATCGCAGAATTAGTCATTTCCTCGGGTGCTGAATTTAACAAGTCCAACTGCTTTCATGCCAGGCTGGTTGTGAATTTCATTCGGCCCATGAACGACTCGCGTGAGAAGATCTGAAGCAATCTTGAAAAAAAAGTCGTTCTAAAAATTATTACTGTAGAAGGATATCTTCATTGAACGCGACTGGATTTGAGCAACCAATTAGAAGGGCGGGAAAACCTGTGAAATTTTACAGTGAATTTATATTTGATTCGGTGATTCAAGGATTACATGAGTTAGGTCATTGACTCTTTTGGAATGCCGGAATAACCAACCAAAACACCGAGAATTCGAGAAGGGAAACAATTCGGATATGATACCCGAATCTTTTCATTCAGAGTTACTGTTGCCCGACTCCAGGTCATCTCGAGTGTTGGCCTTCACTGCGGCCTATCCTTTCGAAAAAGGCCACACCGAAAAATTGCAGTCAATTTTTTTGGGTGAAAAGTAAGCTCTTTAATTGATTGAGTAAACACGGATGAATAGTTTCACTGTTCGTGATCATTCTAAAGAAATCGTTTACTTCATTCCCGTGCAAGGGCAGTCCCTGCGTTTCAACTTTCCTTCAAGACGGGTATGTAGGCCCCAATTGGAGCGCCCTAGTTAAAGACAGATTGTCGCAACATAAAACGAAAAGGTCCCTCACAGCCTGGACAACCTGGGAAAGGAGACAAGGGCGACAAAGGCGAGCAAGGTGAGAACTGTGGTCATCCGCAGACGCAATCCCGTCCGCCCGCGAGCAAAGTGAATTATCGACTGCTCGCGATCTCAGTGATGGAGGAAATAATTTCGCTTCCGCAGGCCTGGCGGGCAGGATGGGTCGCAAGGGGGACAAAGGCGACCGAGGTCGCGACGGGCAGCCTGGAGTGCAGACCTACGCTCTCAACGACACCGAAGTCACGAAAATTCTCGTTCCCCCGAAGATCATCAAGCCGCCGAAGGAAGCCGACTTCCGAGGTGAGGGCTTTGCTTCAAACTCGCATCTGCCATCTCCTGGAAACGCAAAAAAGACAGTTGTTTGTTTTTTCCCCCCAATCGCGGTTTTCTATGGGCCGCAGTTATTTTTCTCCCTCCACCTTTTGTCATCCGAACAAAGACCCCGCGCGTCGCTCGTCAAACGCATTTCCCGAGAGGAACACCTCGTACTCTTTCCCACACCGCTTAGGTGAGCATCCTCCATCAAAAAGTCACTCGCTTCGCGTCATTCCGCCACGACTCCAGGAAGTGACAACATTAGTGGAAAATATAGAACTCCGTTTACTTGAATTAAAGGGTTAATCCGCAATGATGAAACGATATAGCCTCACGTACTCGAATTCAAGACATTATCCATTAATTATATTAATAAACATTAATTAGGCATCAATCAGATCTTGGGAGCATTTCATTCAGAGGAACGATATTCAGACAGCTCACTGAAAATTCGAACAGGTGATCAAATGGAAGATGCCATGAAATACTGTATAGCAAAAATTATTAGTGTTTAGTTCTCCTAATTTTCGAGGAAGAAGTACGTATGATAGTCGAGGAATTACACGAAACATTTCCGCAAAAATCTCCTCGCGCGTTCTTGTCCGAAAGACTCTTTATAATAGTGAAAATATCACTTCAATGTATAAATCTCCATTTATCTGAATTAAAGTTTTATAGAATACGCCGATGAAATGACAGAGCCGTACATACTCGAATTCCAGACATCACCCATTAATATATAGACATCAATTAGATCTTGGGAGCATTTTATTCAGAAGGACGATTTCCAGACAGCTTATTTAAATTCAAAGACGCCATAAAATAGAAGACGCCGTGAAATTTAGCAAGGTGCATCAGCTTTTCTTCAAATTTTGCGAAACAAATACAGGTACGTATGATCCTCGAGGAATTACGCAAACCATTTCCGCTAAAATCTCGTTGAACATTCATTCCTATCGGAACAACTCTTCGTATCTAACATATCACTGGAATTTATAAAACTCAGTTCACCTGAATTAAAGTTTAGAATACAACGATGAAATGACAGGGTCGTATGTACTGTACTCGAATACAAGACATCATCCATTATTGATAGACGAACCAGCGTTTCTTTATTTCTGTGACTGGAAAGTTGGATTAATTTTCGCCTACAAGAATAACATGCACATTCATGGCATCTAATGCTGTCTTCAGAATAAGAAGTGTCGCATAATTCACTTCACACTGCATTCACTAGCTCGATGTGTGGCAATGCTTCCGATAGAAAACAAAACAAAAAATAATTAGACCCGTTGTTCCGTAAAACTGAAGCAAGTGGTGGAGATTGGTTCAATGAGATCTTGGGCACTTTTTATTCAGAAGACAGACAGTCAGACAACTTACTTGCAATTCCAAGACGCCATGGAATACTTTATAGCGAGACGCATCAGTATTTTACGGATAATTGTTGCGAAAGAAGTACTTATGATAGTCGAGAAATTACGGGAAACATTTCCACAAAAATCTCCCCGCACATTTTTGTCGGAACAGTTCCGAGTTTTCAGTAATTATTCACGCTCTGTATGTTCCGCTCTCCTCCAGTCGCGTCGCCGGAAGTCCATGACGCTTATATTTTTTTTGTACCCCACTTCACTCCTGTCAGGAAGGAAAAAGCCCATGGTGCTTTACGAAGGAGAAAATTTGCGACTAGCCTGTGCTGCGTCCGGCCAGCCGGAGCCTGTTGTCGAGTGGACGAGGACAGATGGGCAACCATTTCGCGTGGGCAAATGGACGAGTAAGTCTATTTTTAGTGATCACTAAAAACGCGAAACAAGAAAAGCGGAACCCTTTGCAGCCGGCGAGTATGTCGCTGTTTCAAGCTCCATTAGAGGTTTACATCGAACAGTTCTAGCTGTACCTCATTATGTCGCGAGTTCGTAATTTTACTCTCCTGTATGATGTTTTTTTTGGGGATTTGTTCGGCTCAAATCCGGTCAAACGCTTTCTCAAGTTGATTTTTAATCATGCGAAAGCGTTAAGTTAGGTTTAGACTTGATTCTCCCTATTTACGAATCTTAGGAATGCCACCAATATTTTTCAGTGAAGCACCGGATATGTAGCGTAATGTCCGAATACTGTACTGCTGAATATGTTTATAAGTTAATGCGAATTTCCCCAAGATTGTATTTGCAAGAACTGAGGCGCGCATGTTACACAGGTGCATGTGGCACACATATGAATCCACCTGGTTGATTTTTCAATAAGACGCAATTTTAAAGTTTGTTTACGTATTCGATTATGTTATGTTCAGTCATAAGTCTAAAATTGTAGCAAACCCTGCCTGACATTTGAAAATATCGGAAGGTGGAATGGAGGAGACTTGAAAGAGCTCAGGAGTATTCTTATGGTTATGTTAAAGGAATCCACGCGACGAATTCCACCGCGTGTTTCAAACAGATGTGAAACAGGAAAAAAATTCAAAAGTGAACTCGCATGTCTATTTTGAAGCTCAACAGCCAAACTGAGTCTGCATTCGGAATCAATTTCATGTTCAACGCATTTATGTATTCGGATAGATCGTAAGGCGCATAATAGCTTCACAAGTAATTCGCAGCAATCGATTGTTGGCGAATTTCAGCCTTGAAAACGCAAAAGCCTTTTGAATAAACAAAAGAGGTATCAAGTGCCATTCCAGGCTTGTAACTGTGATATTGATGTGGGGCTGAATGCGTACTCGACTACTGTATTCCCCAGTTTCCGAACTTCGGGGATCAATTCTGGGAGAATGCCGAGTATTGACAAGCTCTGCTTTTGCCTAGAAACAAACTTATCGACCAACTTTGGGTGATTTTACAGAATATCACCAATACGTACAATAGAGATGGTGCAGTCGACATCGTCTCATATGTAGCTTATGTAGTGATTAAGAAGCCATTTCACATTACTGAGACGCTTTACTTTAGGATTAAGAAGTGGCATCGAGAACTAGTCGGAGGGTATCATTAATTCAAGAAGCGTCGTTTATCAAGAGCATACTTTGCATACTTGAACTAGGTTTAACGTGATAAAGTATTTTTCATGACAAGACTTTTCAAAGTACAGCGCAGTACAAACAACGATTTGAAGAAAAAGCAGACATGCAAGAAATCGAAAAGGGTTTTTGGTTGGTGGAACATCAGGCTTCATAAGATTTGGTGTCACTTTTTTGCGACGAATACTGCATTCTTTGAATCTATTATACCGTTGATTTTAACTTTGTAATTATACATTTACGTACATTCAAAATAAAAACTTATATTTATCCGTGCGCAAAGCATCTCCATGCTTGAAATTTTTCTCAAGTACATTTTCTTGAAAACTGCGTGCAGTATAAAGGTAAGTGTCATCTCCCAAAAATAAGCGCATGCATTAGAAAAATTACCCCCTGCTTATGCACAATTGGCGATGTACAGATAAGTTTCAGTGAGCCACACAGAAGAGCAAAGAAAAAAGGCTGCCATCTGTTCTGAATAAATAATTTTGTCTTAACATCTGATCATTTCGTGTCAGTGTGCTCCTTTGTTTGTCGTCGAGCACATCAAGGCTGGTACAGTGCTGTACTGTAAAACTGTACATCATTCTACTCTCTTTGTCCTTGTAATAAAAATCAGTGATAACTGCACTGCTTTCAACTGGTGCTACGTGGAGCCCTCAGAAATCTTTTCAGAGTTGCCGCGGGATCCGCGACTGAGCCCATTGAAGTGAAAGAGAAAGCTAATGCATTTTTGTAGTCAGGAATAAAGTTAGAATGAATTTTCAGTTTAGAATAAAGGAAAATGTAAAGATTCCAATGGAAATCCGTGCCAGGATTAAATTTGTAGATCATGTCGAAAAAAAAGCTTGCTGAAGGGGCTCCGTCAGAAAAATTGCAGCAATTCCAAAAACTGTTACGCAAGCCGGACAGGCTGAGAACCGGAGGTTCGATACTGTAAACTAGAATACTAGCTTAAACGTTATTTCTTATAAACTAAGCTAAACGTTCAAATTTTCTCAGAGCGTTTAAGCTGCGTAATTTGACGATCAAAAGGCGAACACACAAAAAAAATAAATAAAAATAAAGCGAGGGTGCCTGACGAACTAATTTCCTCGACTTCTAAGCCCGATTTCATCAGTCGGGTAGTGGAATCATGAAAATGTGCAGATGGTACGTAATGAAAGCCCGCTTCTGTGAAATCGTGGGAGGCAGGGGGTAAAGATCCGTGGATATTCTGACCCCTCGAGTTTCACTACGATCGATTTGACTGATGCTGCATGGGTTTCTAAATATTGCTTCTCTATCCTGCGGACTGACACGCGGCAGCAACCAGACGCCCGCTCCCCACAGCCGGATACAATCTCGACGCGTTGTGGGGGAGGAAAGGCGAGGATAAAGCTGATTATTTCCCCACTTGCTTTTCTTTTTGCCTGGAACTTTCCGGCGGATTACTTCCCCTGGGACTTTCTATCCCGAGCACAGGCGCATTTCAAAGAAATCCTCGCAGACCCTCGTCTACCGGAAAATCAATTCGTTAAAATTTACCTCCTCTTAGGCTATAATTGAACCCCGGAAATGCGCTGCTTGAATGAGCAAGGCATTGCTTTGAGCGTGGGGAAAATTTATGCAGCGAATCTTTACGCTATGCTCAAAGTTGGTCGCACTTTGAGAATGACTTCAAGAAGAACGACTTTCATAAAGTATTAAAATGAAGTTCCAGTCCTTACAAAACGTTGTAAAGCTTTCGAAATTTTGCTCTGCTTTTGAGGAATCGCAGGTGACATCAATCTAAGTTGTCACACGCGAGACCTTCAGGTTGTGTACTCTGCTTTCCCAAGTCATGGAAACTTCAATATCCAATCATATTTCTCTGAAGAGAAAAATAAGTCATACGAAAAGTTCCAGCCAAAACATCGCCACGAGTGTACATTTGAGTTATAACCCAACAATAAGCCCTGATCAGGGTTCGGTTCGGCGGGTTTGCGGAATGTAATGAGGAAAGATATACAGTATTTTCTTGATATGGAACAGGAACAAATCACTATTTTATTTATCCTGATCCTCTTTGCTCGAATTCATTTGAAAATGCATGCATTGACGATTGAGGAAAACAATAGCGTACTTCTAACCTCTGTAAGCTTCGGAGTGTACAGTATATCAATCTTGAATATTGAATTTTATTGCACCGTATCAGCATATAACACATATCCTCATGATGAGTTCTACTCATTTTTTGCCACCAACATCATGCCATAAAACGTCCAACAGGAAAATACGGCACGTAAAACTTCGTTATGATCATACAAGGCTGAAGTTAAACCCTCTTCACTGATGCACAGTGTTTCTTGAAAAAGCATTTTGCATTGAATAATTGACCATGATTCTTTCATCGTTCTTCAGCAAATGCGGTGCTAGGGAAGTACCTAAATTTGACTGAAATTCATCGGGATCACATGGGTGAGTACAAATGTTCCGCATCCAATGGAATCCCCCCGGACGACGAGAAGAAATACGACGTCGAAGTGCACTGTGAGTACACCCGGCGAAATCGTTATTTTCGTTTAAAAAAAAATGAGTTGATTAGAAAAAACTAAAATTAAGGATAATGGTTCCTTCCAGTCGATTAGTTTATTTCTATTGCTATTTTATATGCATCACTATTTTGTTCCAGGAAAGAATTTAGAATATGTCAAATGAACCGTGCATTCTTTATAGAAGAGTTGGCTACGTTTGTTGCTTTTTCGAATGCATGTAGAATAAAAATAAATTATGCATAGACGATACGGGAGAAGTTCTTCACTACACGAAGAAGCGAGTTGATAACTCGAGACTTCTTGAAATGAAGACGTTCCGTACTATACTGCCAAACGCATGTATGTTTTTCAACTGCGGATTTTTTATTTTGCCCGCTGTGATTGAATTAGATTCAATGAAGATACGAGGACAGGTTCCCTGTGTTCGGTTTTCTGGATTTATTGGTTAAAAAAAAAGATGTTTTCCAACTTTTCCTCATATCGTCGATTGTGAGCGACGTATAAAAATAAATGCAGAATATTTGAAATGCAATCAATTCATAAGGGATGAAAAAAATGTCCAATGATAAATTATTATCATTTTTAAGACTTCATCGTTCAATGCAAGTTTGTACGAAAATGCAAAAGCAGCCAAGCAATTATTTTATCCTCATGCTTCTTCAGTCGTTTTTGCGCTTCAATACAAAATTTCTTCACTTACTGTAGCACGGACGAATGTCTGTTTTCTTGTGTTTCTCATTCACATCGTCCCGCCAGAGAAAAAAATATCAAGAAATGTTCTGGATCAAATTTAGAAACGAAGTACAGAATGAGGACAAATTCTAAAATGGCATTATTGCGATAAAACGCATAAAATCCTCGAATTTGTGTGCTAGAAGTAAATGGTATTATTTTCTTGGGATTCCAATGAACCAGACGACGGCTTGTAATTTCCTTCACAGAGTCCTTTCATTGAGTTGGATTGTGAAATCACTGAAAGATAATTTTTACTGAGTGTCCCCCTTGTAAAACGTGTCGTATATTTGAGGGTGAAAAATGCATTAAAATTGTTTTTGAAATCAATTGAGAAATTGGAAGTAAATGTTGAGTTAATACAGAGTACCTTCGGCGGCACCGTGTATAGTGACGAAGCTTTCCTTGTAACTGCAATGGGATTTTTCTCACCGTGATTTCCTCCCTCGCAACATTGAAGAGAATTCTCGGAATTTCAGGGAAAGAAAAACGTTGGTAGAATCCCAGCATCGTATGATTTATTCGGTGTTTCAGTTCCTCCGTACATCGAAGTGCGTCGTACAATGGTGCCAGCGCCGAGAGGGTTCTGGGCCTTCCTCGTCTGCGACATTGAAACCTACCCCGAGGCGGTGACCTATTGGGAACGCGGTCCGAGAGAACGCGGACCCCGGGAACGTGGCACACCGGATGAGCGAGTCATTGAAAAGAGTCGAGGCACGTACTGTCGCAAACTTTTCTCCACCTGCTCACAAAGCAACAAGAAAACCCCGCATGAAATGATTAGAATTTGATTGAATTCCGTCGGAAGCCATCTCAGTGAGCTGTGTGGTTCTTCATTTATCGGCTGTCCGTCGTCCGATCGATGCTACCAATACTGTTCCTGAGTTGTTAAGGGCTAAAAATGTGTCGACAAAAAATTAATGAAATTCCGCAATGTCCTTGAGTTTTCGGACGGAAGAATCCGCTGCGGGGCTTAACGCGTCAGCGAATTCTCGATAAGGAACGCCGCTCCCCCGCTGTTGGCTTCGCAATGTTATCTTATAATTCTTACGAATGAGGGTTCACTTATCGCTCCGACAGACACGTACGTCCTCAGCGTCACGCAAAAGGAGAACAGCAAGTACAAGTTCAACATGACCCTAAACATCACGTCTATGAAGGAAGACGATTACCGTCAGTACCGCTGCGTAGCGAGCAATCTCCGGGGACTCACCAAGGGAATCCTCACTGTGCACGGTAAGGCAACGGACGAATGACACGAGTCATTAACACTCGATCACATCTGAGCGAATCATTACTATCGTGTCATCTCGCTATTTTCCGGTTTGACGGCTTCATGATTGCGCAGCAAAAAATTGCTCCGTCTGATGACCTTTTGTTGTGAGATCAGTAGATTCCGTATACTGTATACCGTATAACGGGCGATTTGCAGATGCTTTAAAGATTCCCTCCACGTGTTTCTTCTTTCTTTGAATAAAATCTAAGCTTTCTGCCTTGTCGCTTGAAGAAGACTCAACTTATTTCTCCCGGGGATATAGGATAAATATTCGCCGTATCAACGCACCACGCTCAGGACTTCAGAATTTTTTTTCGTTAACCGGAGTTCCTTTTCCCCTCCTTGAAATTATTATCATTTTTAAGACTTCATCGTTCATTACAACTTTGTACGAAAATGCAAAAGCAGCCAAGTAATTATTTTGTACGCTCTCTTCAAGCCATTTACTTACGATCATCTTGATGCAGCAAATGTTATTTCAGGGGTATCGAGAAAAGGTCATGGACATTGGCAAATTTTTGCGAACCGATAGAATGATGCGAGGATAACCGTAGCATCACTGGTGTATTTCATGCTTATGCATCCGTCTAGGAAGGCATGAGAATTTCACATAATTTATAAGAAATCGGGTCTTTCCTGTTTCCTCTATAACAAATACAGTTCATTTCGTTGTGGCATCCAATAAAAATACTGTATCTTGAGCCGCAGTGTCACTTGAATTATTTTTCTTTGTATTAAATGTGTTCTAATAGTGAAACTTGAGTAATAAGTTGAACTCGATGTTTGGGGATGACAGATTCCGAAAAAGTACAGTACATGAGAATTTAACTTTACAAGCTATTCAAAGCAGTTCGCACAGCAAATAGGATTTTTACTTTGGAGTTTGGTGGTGTATTTGTTCGAGAAAAATCAGCTAAAGTTGTTGGTTTTCCAAATTGTATGAAAAATAATCCGGTTAAAATTAACGACTGATTGATTTATTGTTATACCATTTACAAAGAACCTGGCGCCCAGTCATACCTTTTCGGGTATTTTTGATCAGAAATTTGAAAACAGATGAGTTTGTGGCGCGGCAATGAAAAAAGGTCTTTTTTCTGTTCTGTGACTGCGTTTCTCTCTGCAGATGACCTATTAGTTCACAACTTCAGACGGATTCAAATCGAGATAACATTGCGATCAAGGAAAATAAAATATGTCGTCGTTCTGACCCTGATCTCGTTTACGTTTAAATGTCGACGATGCTTTTTCTTTTTTTTTGACAGAGGTCAGCCCAGATAACTTCAACCCGGTTCCGTACGACGGAGAAAAGGCGACTTTCGGCCACAGACCGGACCACGTGGGATACGAGGACCTTTGCCCACCGCCCCCAGACTGTCCGAAGTGTAAGCCGACTCTTTGTTCCAGCGATGGGTCTCGAGTGTCTTACGCCGGGATCACGGGAAGCGCTTTCGGGAATTATTCGAACGCTGCTCATCCGAAGCGACTGCCGACCGGAAGTAAGATAACTTCCTGCGTTTTGACGACTGCGGAAATCCCCACAGAGCCCGTTTCGTGCCGGGATATTGTGGTCACAGAGAGATCCCTGACAAAATCGTGGAATGCAATGGGATTCTCTGCTATCCTTTCTATGATTAAACTTGGAATTGAATCAGGCTCGTCTCCAAAGAAAACACGCAACAGGTTGCAAAACGTGTTTCACATACTGTACTGTAATCTCGAACTTGTGACGCTCTCGGGAGAGTCGGGACCCCTTGATTGCGTGAATGAGATGCGTCTGATGACTGGAAGTTCAAAGGGTTCAAGGTTCATTACCCTTCGTAGCTTTTATCATGTCGAAAATAATCCGTTCACCCCAAATGTTGAACCCCAAAACATCTATGACGAGTTACGAATACCGCACAGGCATGACCAAGCACTTTTTCCCCGTGCTTTCTTGTGTACCAAACGCAAATTTTTCCGAAATTTGAAGACAAACGAGTGAGTCTCAAACACAGTTGCAAATTCTATAAATTTTTACGTTTTCATTTAAAATCCTGGTGTGCGTTGTACACGGGGTTAAATTATGATTCTGTCCGAAATTCCATAAATTTTATGATGCTCATCAGTTTAATCTCAGCAATTGTATGTGGATGTTCACAATTGAATTAAAACGAATTCAAAATAGTCCCGCATAATTTCATTCAAGATTTAAATTATGCAGGCAATCAACTAGTAATGTACTTGTCTTTTTAATCTCCAAAATGGTGCCTGGTTATTTCATAGGAATGTGAAGGTTTCATCGAAATTCTCTCACATGCATTTTTGACGCATACATTTACTATAATTATCCTCACACCATAATACCCAGAACTTTTGAACGAAATTCTGTTCTTACAGGCAGGAACATTTTTGTGCATGGTCTGCCCATTCTTTAAAGTGCATATATTAAGCAGGACCGCAATTTTTTTCGGTAGGCGTTGATCAATGCAGGAAAAACACTTCCATTTAAAAAAAAAACATATGCTCCTTCCACAAAGAATGAACGCTGTATAGCATTCAAATTCGTGGACGATTGATGGGAACTTATTTGGATTTCAGACATGCTGTTTTGTACGAATTCACATTCCATGGTCCAGATGAGTTCTCCGAAAATTCGTAGCTTTTGTTCGTCAGAAAGGCACTTCAGTTAACGTAAGAGCATGAGAACTATACCTCTTATTTCCAACAGAGCTCCAAGGACTTGAGCATGTTGCATCAAACGGAGCTCAGAAATAGGATTCAAAGTTAATGTTCTTAGACCGCGAAGTTCTCAACTGAATGCGCTGTTCGAAAAGTTTTTCGTCCAGACGCGCAGTTTGGTTGGAAACTTCTCCAAGAACTACTATCGGTAACGTAAAACGAAATGAGTGACTCCATTCCAGCCTCACATGGGATTAATTCTCCGGAAAAGGTCATGTGTGAGGGAATGACCCAGTGAAACAAATCCAATTCGGTTACTCTGTAGGCATTGAAAAGTAGATCACTTGATTTACAATGAAATTTGTCGAAGATTAATTTTAAAAAACGAAGCATAAACGTTCTTTTCCGTGTCTGAAGACATACGAGTACACCTTCGTAAAACAATAATTAAGGTTATCGGGTTCTAACACTCCGAGGGAAGCCACTGGCAAAATTCCCGGTATTCCTAAAAAAAAACGAAAACAAGGATCCATTATTCGAACAATTGGTGAATATTAGAATCTGTAAACCTTTCCTCTCGTTACGCATAGACGAGATCACTTCCAGATGGATTAAGAGACAAAAAGAGAAAAATAAATTAGGGGCACATGGATTTTCTTGAAAAGCGTCGGCTTCACAATTTCAGTTTCCCAAGAAAAAAATACTTGGAAATGAGGTACTGTACTAGAGTGTCTAAAATTAAAAGAAATATTTCCAGAATGCCGCCTGGAAGCCGTCGGCAAACCCGTGTATTACCGTTACACCCCTGCTTTCGGAGCTTGGATGCAAGACAGCAATCCACCGTCTCCAAAAGAAGGAGAGAAGTTCTGGGTCACTCTGAACAACAACTCAAACATCCTTTACGAATTTGCGAACAAGTCTGCGTTTAGGGACGACATCGCAATGAAAACCTACGCGTTGCCGGACAACGGTTTCACTGTAAGTTTTTCAGACTCAACTAGATGCCACTGCTCTGCGAGCGGAACTGAATGTAACTTCGCCGAGAAACCTTCTGTTCGTCGGGAAATCGCTTTCATTGACATTCTCGTCCTCAATGCGGAAGCTATTGGTTATTATTCAGCTGGGTCAGATGCTGAAAATGTATCTTTCAGGGAAGCAGCCATGTGATTTACAAAGGGTCGTTCTTTTACCAAACCAACGACCAGAACAGCACAAGGGTGGCCCGCTACGATTTGAAGACCGGCATCGTAACGACCATGATTGTTCCCGAAGCGGAATACGCGAACGGGACGAGACTGTACAGTTCGAGACACTCGTTCTTTGATTTCAACGTCGACGAGAACGGGATTTGGGTCATCTATGGCCTTCGGAAAAAGAAGACCATTGTCGTCGTCAAATTCGATCCGACGACGATGCAAATTGATTATGCTTGGAACGTGACGCTGGAACATCACAAAGTCGGTGATATGTTCATAGTCTGTGGAGTTTTATACGCCGTGGACAGTCTCACTGAGGGAGAAACCAAGATTAGATTTGCTTTGGATCTTTATTACCACCAGCTGCTTAGCGACGTCGACTTGACTTTCAGCAACCCCTTCCGACAAAATACCATGGTTGGATACAACCCGAGAACAAAGGCAAGTTGTACTTCCTTTGTGAAAGATCAGAGGAAATCCGTTCAGCTTATTTTACACAAATAATAGACCTCCTTCAAACACGGGAAAATTGCCGTGGTTACGCGCGGAATGAAAAGTCGAATAACTTCATAAGAATTTCCGCAAAAAAGCATGGATGCACCATTTTCCGGAATCTAAATTTGGGGAGCAAATTATGCAATATTCCCTCGGTTATTTCTACTCTGTTGAAATCAAAGAACTACTGTACATTACTGTACCTTGTTTCAAAAGATTCCCATAAAATCGTCTATTACCTGTTAAACAGGCGAAAACGTGAAAATCACAACCACATCAAAATTTGTGAAAATGTCGGCAAGAGTGCGCCTGTGTTATGTCAGGCCACTGTAGGATACATTTATCAACTACCTGTCGAATGCTGTATTTGGATGTATTTTGAATGAATGTACAGAATTGAATGTACAATACTGTACTAGAATATTTGATTATCTGTGCTGGCTTATTATCCGGGGAAAATAGCCCGGTCTTGAGCCTAGATGATCGAAGTTATATTGCGGAGTAAAATAAATTTTTCTAAAGATTAATGGCAAGTTTTAAGAGAACGGGAGACTCGTCAACTTTTCTTTGATATGCTCCAATGTACAGTATATGTGCCCAATTACCGAAATGTAGCAGATAGTAAATTACACCAACAAACAGGCCAAGATAAGTTATTCTCAAAAGGTTTAGCTTATTCAATCAACTGAACCATGTTTTTTCATCCACAGGAAATCATCTCTTGGGACAATGGGAATCAATTAGCATATCCCATCAAGTACACATCGAGCGGTGATGAGGACTCAAACGGACCTGATGTAAATGCCCTTCAAGAACCGCCTTCAAAGGACGGCTTCGCTTTTGCTGGTTGAATCCCGACGTGGCTCCGTCATGGCAGCAGAGGCACGCTATGGACTGAAATATAAAAATTCGGCCGGCTGCAACAACGCCTATTTTTTAAAGCCCCCCGCGCACGTTTTTTTTGTGTGTCGCTAAGCCCGCTTTTTCGTGTCTTCGTGTGTCTCTTAGGCTAGTGAATCCGAATGATGAGGCAGCGGGGAAAAAATCATTTGAAACAGGCTCGTCTCCTTCCTCAATTTTTTTCTGATCGTATCTGCGTGAGGCGAATAAATTCGTTTTCTTTTTCTTTGTTGCTGTTGGTGTCGATCGACCTCTCAACTTCAGATCAGAGGCCATGCCTACTGGCGTAGTTTTTCGATAGAAGAAGCGCGACATCTGTTTCACTCGAAGCAGTCAAGCGAAGAAGGTTTCATCTTCCACGCAACGTTGTCGATGAATGCAAGAAACTCACCTGGTTTTGTACGGTACTGTACAGTACAGTACTACAATAGCATGTCTCAGAAGACCGTATCAAGTAAAGTTTGAGACTTGATTCAAGTCGAAGTTGAGTGTTAGTTGGAAAGCAAAGCCCCATGGGATTCAAGTCTGACACAACGATTGCACAAGGAGTGCGAATTAGATTTTCTTCAGCGGGTTTTCTGCCATCATCAGGAAGTAAAACCTGTAACCTGATGAAATACCTTACGGTATCAATTATACCCCGGGAAAGAAAAAGGGTGCGAAGGGTTTCACAGCAATTATCGGATTTGCAAATAAAATGCTTTCATAAAACTCGATTGCACATGATTTTGTACTGGAAGAAATAAAAGCCACGTAGAAACACCACAGCTGATTTATTTTGAGTCTCATCAACGAACTTTTTTCAAAATGTGTTTTGTGTCAACGCATTCGGACGACTGGAATCTGTTCTTAACGTTAGATGGAGCCAAAATGTCAACAGAAAGTCCGGGAGGCAGAAAAGGAGGGCGACTCTCGTCCGACCCAGGTTTAAAAAAAAACGATAACTTCCACCAGGCATATAGCCATTTACCCAAATTTTGATTTACTGATAGAAAATAAAGCTCGGCCTGTAGAAATTGAATTAGAATTGCCTTTTCGCATTATCAACTAACTATGGCATGCAAGTATTCAAATTACATTTGGTGAGATTCCGGTGATGTTACCAATCATCAGTATTTTCCTTCTCATCCGATAACTACTCGTTCTTGACGTCTTGTTTAATTATCTGTGGTGATTGATTATCACGACTTAGGTACCCGAATATTATTCCGAATAATCGGAGATTAGCTGATGCACGCGGTCCAAGACCTGTTTTATTTTCGGAAAAACACTGTTCATGATGCCCAAGAGATCTCCATAGTTGAACGTGCTTCACTTAGCCTAGAATTGCATAACATTATGATGGTTTATTTTCATCGAACCCAGGTTCAAGTTCACACAGTATATTTTCTGCGGGTAGCTTGCGCTGCGCTTGAAAACAAACAACGGAGGGGGTCACAGGATGCAACATCAGAATAATTATGATAAAGAACCGATGATGCGTGAAATGCAAGGGCTTCGCCGTCACAGGTCGACGGGTCCGAGTAACGATTCCTTGAACAGCGGCAAAAGAAAAAAAATCTGATTAGAAAAAAAAAAACTTGATCAGATCGCCCACAGGAACGCCTCGCGGGTCGGCACTCCGTCCATATTCCTCCCGTATTCATCTCCGAATGGCGCAAATATCCATGCGAACGTCGTCTCGGGATTCCACTCTCGAGGGAAAAGGCAAACACTTTCTCGCAATATAATATGCAAAAGGGACGAACTTTGCCCGACACGCTCCTTCCGAAGTTCTTTTCAAAACGCGCGACTATGGAAAGTTCGCCGGAATACCTTCCATGAATATCAAAGTTGAAATTTCCGGCTTCCTCGTGTCGCTGCGGCACTTTGCGGGCTATATACTTGCTGCATGATCGCTTTGCTCAGTGAATTACGAACTGCTGTCTTTTTGAGAAATGCCACGCATCCACCGGAACTCTCGTCGGGAATCGAGTTAGATTCCCCAAAATTCAGCAAACTTCGCTCCATAATCTCTTGCCTTTGTCTTTCCAGCCGTGCGCAGTGAAACAACCGTCGAATTCCGGGTTCTCAGCCAGCAGTGTCCCAGATCTTCTACGAAGTTCCCTGTATATATGGAAGCTATTCCCACTGAAAGAAAAATTACGAAAGTAGAATGCATAAAAGGGATAGGAAGGAATGAAAATTTTATGTTCGTGGAAGACGTACGGATGTGCAATCAGCTTATGAAAATAAATGTGGACTACTAGCTGTCCGTGATGAGGTAAAGGCGCAAAAAATTATTTTTCGAACGGGGCTAATTCTGACATAGACATCGAAACCGAAGGAAAATCGATACATGTCTTCACACCCATAAATAACGGAAGTTACTGCACTGACTACGGCACAAATAACGTCATAAATACGTATAAAAAACCGGATCTCGGCGAACGAGAGACTGCTTTCATGTTTGTATTCAATTAGCCATGTGTCACGCGCTTCCTGAGTGCCATGTTCCCTTGATGCTTGTTTTCCTTCCTATATTCGTCGGCATTTCCGGGAGATTCCTTTGTAGCCAGGAAGAATCTAGCTCTTCAAGACGAATATCTGGTTCCGAAAGAGACTTGCAAATCCCAGATTCATTCGCGCCTCTGACTTGATTTCTAACGGATTCTTGGGCTGAAGTCCACTTCTTCAACGAGGCGAGAATTCTGCTTGGAGGTGTAACATGCAGTTGAACTTCTTGGATTACCCGGTGTTACACAACGGAACCCTTCAATGTGATAGTCAAGGCGAACTTAAACGAAATACATTATTTTTTATCTCTGTATGGGAGGAATGCTGATATTGGAAAAAGGAATGCCTTTTTTATGTTGACGTTCAGGTGACTTCATCGGAGATTTGCGTGCGGGCCGCCGCAGCGTTTCCCCAATTCACGGGAAGAGAATTACCCGCTATGGTTCTCTTGCACGGAATTGTGAGAGCTGCTAACGCGATTATTGACCTTTAATTTATCAGCAACGCATGCGTCAGTCTGCAGAACGAACCTGCACCAACATCCGTGCCAGCGAAAAGGTGTTCAAACTTCCGCTACTTCCGCATTAGAGCGGAGTGCTCTTAAATTATGTAACGAGCCAATATGTGAAAGAGATCCCTTCAGTCAGACATCGTCGGATACTTAGAGAAGAACTCCAATTACTCGGACTGATGACCGGTCGCCTTCGCAAAAAGTTTAAAAATGATTTAACATGTGCATGCCAAATGTATCTATAACGAGTACGACCGGGCAAGATATAGTATCACAGTTCTTCCCACGAATCTTCAACTGGACTGGTCTGGATAATCAAATTCTTTGCCGAATACATGATGGCCTAAAGCACAGATTTCATGGCATTTATTCTACGATGAAAAATTGGTATGATGGTCGAATATTTAGTAATTGCTGATGTTTTGTTAGCTTGCTGATTTTAATCATGCGTATCTTGATTTTAAGCGTTATATAATTCAATACTCTCATTATTTCGATCAAGGGAAATTAATTGTTCTAAAATGATTCGAATAATCCACATCGCTTACTGTCGTGGAATCAACATTTAGAACCCGGTTAATATTGAAGCTTCAGTACTCGGAGGTATAATACACACTGGGTTTATTTGATCGATGGACGAAATCTGGTGAACAGTTCATATTCGGATTTTTTTTAATTTGCGGAACATGCATTTTGGACGATCTCTTCGAGAAAATGCATTCAGAAGTTGTATTTCCTCCATCGTGAGAAACAATTCCTCGAGCAGAGAATCCGTCGCATTCGGTTGCTTTCTTCGCCCGAACTCGACCAGAGATCACGAGAAATTCCATAAGTTGAACGTTCCAGACAGCTAGAAAGTTTGGTTGTCTTAAGGCCATTTGGGTTTCTAGAGAACTCTCTGTCGGAATGGGATGTATACAACGGTTCCGCGAAACGCAATCTCTTCACGCTATGTAGGAGGGCGCAAAGACGGTAATGAGAACAAAACTTTTATCCAGCCGACCGGGGGAACAGCACAGGGGAGCCCATCACCGTCTGACCATCAATTCTCGAGGCAAACGAGACTACTGCTGCACATGTAGCTGTGCCAGCATGTAGATCAACACGTATTCTTCCGCTCCGTGCCCCAATTTCGACGATCAATAACGAACATTCACTTTCGCGTTATTCACTGATTTGTCTTGACCTCCTTATTCGGAAAGTGTTCATTGCATGATGGCGCGGCCTTTCCGCAAAACGGACACTGAGCTGGAGGCGCTCAACTGGGCAAAGATGTCATTTGTCCATCGATACTAATTTTCCTCACTGTTTTACCATCAATTATTCCGAAAGATTAAAATGCAGCCACAAGGAATACAGCTCTTCAAGACTAAGTAGCTAACCGCATTTACTCGAATACGAGACACCATTCATCATCATAAGCACCTTTAATTCTTGCAACTTCTTGAAATAAATTATAATGATCTCGCGTGCGAATGTAAGATGCACTAAACGTCTCTCGTATTCAAACTCTTCAGAATCGGAGAAGTTCATCTATTATACACTCATCCGTCTAATAAAAACCTAATTTTTTAAAAACAACCACTAGTAATTATATTTTTGTGCAAACAGGAAATTAATTCCAATGGAGACTTTTAAATGTCAAAACACCACTTAGAGTACCCCAAAATATCACGCTGAGTAAGGAAGAAGGTCTTACTTATTTACTGACAAATTTAATTAAGACAGCGTTCATGCATGATACGAACATTTCAGCTCTTGTAAGAAGTCACAAAACAACTTTCTCTCGGGTTTTTATTAGTTTGAAAGATCTTTACTCCCTAAAAAAAAAGACACCGATAGCCAAATTGGACCTACAAACAGTACTTCTTGATGGTTTCGAGTTGACTGAAGGGCTAATATTCGAATAGAAAGTCGCAGTCCGGCATTTTTTAAACCAGCAAAGGGCCCCAGGCTACATCATTAACTTACGTGTCATTGTCAGATGAGGTGTGGTATTCAAGAATCATCTTTAAAATACTGTATACAGATTCAATAACTGTCATTAAATGGATGCCAGTACAACTCAAGAAAATCCAAGGATTCAGACTTTCTGAATCAGAATGAGACGAGTTCTTATTGATCAAATTTTCTCACGTCTCGTCTAGTCTGGATTTAGAAAACAATTCGTTATCCTGCATTGAGTGCCAATTTTAAATTTTTTCGGGGAAACGAAAGGTTCATAGCTCATGGGTAATGCAGGTACGTTGAGATTTGGGGTATAGCTGACAGAAGCAATACTTCCACAAGCCCTCCAAGATTGAAAGCTGAATTACGCGGAGTGACAGCAAGAGAAAAACGCGGATGATCATCCGTCGCCGCATCGGAATCGAGGAGCAGAAAAGGAGAACTGGCGGGGTTTTCTTATTTCTCAACGGCAGCAAACGCCCCACACAAAAAAACATGCGACCGGGTTCTTCGCAGATTTCTGCGCTTTGAGGTGCATATCTTCTTCAAAGGGAAAAGGAAGATGGATTTGTTTTACTCGCTAAGGGATGCAATCGAAGCTCGCGGGGAAGCCCGTCGAGGGATGCGCGGGGTCGAGATGCGGCGAGCGAGGTGGGACCCGGACGACGGAGGTTTTCGGGGATGTTGCCCGCGGATTACATTCCGGCTTCATTCTCCTGCGAAACCTTGTTGTCACGAAGAATGAGAGGCCCGGAAGGAACCACCCGGGGTTCCGGAAGAACGGGGGTGCGAAAAGAGAGGCGCAGGGAAGAC